CCATTCTGACTGCTTTTCACTTCCTAAGTAAATAAGTCATCGTCTTTGGATAGCGACTACGTCAGTTCTTAATTAACTTCATGAAGGTAATCCGGCGAACGTATCGTCTGTCGAATAATAAACCAAATGTGAGGGCCCCTGCGGCACCTCCAAGGAATTTGATCCTTATGTAGTTTCGGCAGTCTTTTCAATCGTTGTAAAACTAAAACAACGCTGTCTTGCATTTACCCCGTGACACGGTCTTGGTCCGTCAAACCCACCCACGAACGTCATTAGAAAATTCCGATCACCTCCAGGGATTCTTACCGGCAGTTACTGTCCACTTTAAATCAGTCTGTTTTCCGGTGAATTTCAGCAGTCAGTTGTACGTAAAAAATAAAATTTGGATATTTTAAGTATTTGACGTTTTCAATGCAGCACATGTAAGGAATCGTTTTTTCTTTGCGAGTGCCAAATCGTGGCTGTAGTCTGTTGCCGAAATATTGGGAGTCGGTCGACTCTTATCTTATTATCGAATGAATGAAAACGTTCGCGTTCCAGGTATCTGCATGGATAAGGAAGAAGACTTGTCGAGCACCGGAGCAATTGTTTTATTGTCCTGAGCTTTCGAAATCTTACAAGTCTATCTTCAGAGATAAGAAGCAGCAACCAAAAGGAGGGTAATTATAGTGGCCGTAGGCCAATCAACTATCAGCGGTCATCAGGGCGCCAAGGGTAAGAAACATCAACTAAAAAGGGTGGCGGTTGGTGGGGGCAAATATGGTGATGTACGCTAATTAACTGTCAGTGAAGTCGGTGGTCGTTCGGGGCCATAAACAGTAATTAGTGTAATACCTTGTCCCCACGGTAGAGAGTCCTGGTGATCCTGCCTCCTCTTCTGGCCGGTTTGTGGTGGGGTCCTCTTCGTTTGCAATTCTTACGTTCGGTTTGGCCTTCTTCTCTCCTTTGCTCACGTAATGGCATAAGACTTTGTAGGCCGCGAGGAGGTCCAGATGCCTGTTGACGGAGTTGGCATCTGAGTGCCATGCCTCAAGCGTCAGCCTTTCGGCTTTTGAGTTTCCTCGGCTTACGATGGTTGCTTCTTGAATATCGAAGTCGTGGCCAGTCTCTCCAATGTGTGCTGCAAGCTGTGAGTTTGGGTCTAGCCTCCGAGCTGCTGGCTTGTGTTCGTGTAGGCGGGTCTGCAACTTTCGGCCTGTTTCCCCAACATAATTACAGTCTCCGTAGTTGCAACCTATCTTGTAGACAACTGCAGAGGTTTCCATAGGGGACAGTCTGTCTTTAGCTTGCATCATATGGCGGCGTATTGTCGCCTGAGGTCGGTGCGCTATGCCTACTCCAGCCGGTTGTAACGGTCGTGAGACTGCTTCGGAGGCCCCTTTTATGTAGGGAATGGCCTTCCAGACTCCAGGTTGCTGAGCACCAGCCGTCTTCTGTTCACTCGGCGCTTGCTTTGTTTGATAAATGAGTTTGGGTACACATTAGCTCAGAAGAGTTCTTGAAGGTATTGTTGTTCAGCTCTTCCGTCAGCTAGAGTGCTGCAATATGTTTCAACTCCTTGGAAAAGAGTACGAACGCAACTCCTTGTGTGACACATGGGGTGATTGCTGTTAAAATTTCGTACTTGCTTCGTGCTGGTGGCCTTTCTGAATGCTGTGGCCGCAGTAGTCTAGTAGTATGGAGTATTATGGGTATCTGCCTTGACATTTTTTTGAGAACATTTATTTATACTTCAGTTTGATCGACCATCTCTATGGCACTTGATATGTAAGACACACTACATCCCGTCGTACAGTTAACAAAACCATGTGCACGAATCGCTCAGGGCAGTCAAATTCACGCAGTATTTTCCCAAGTCTATCACAATTCACCGTATCTAAAGGCTCTGTCAGGTGCGTAAAAGCGACTTAGTGGTTGTTTCACATCGCCTGACGCTTCTCTTGTAACTGGCAAGCGGCGGAAATAACTTCGGTCGTCGCCTGGTGTCTTCGAAAGCCACATTGTCTTCCCCGGGAGTAGTTCTTATTCTAAGTAGTTTTAAGCCTATTTAGAAGAATCCAAACGAAGATCCTCCCGGCGACGTTCAGAGAAAGTTGGTAGGTGCCAAGTTGCGATCCAATCGCCTCACAATACACAATGTATACGTATTTACCTATAGCACAAAGGAGATTTAGGTTTCATATCGGATTGCATAAGGGTAAGGAGCTTTAACCCCTAACCATTTCGATGGATTTCCTCGGACTCTCGTCAGGACTGTTTTACCTTTGAATGGGCTACAGTCTTCAGCCTTGTACTCTAAATGCGGCCTCATGGATTTTCAGAAAATGTTGGATATGTCGTGATTAGAACCCATAAAAACTTTTGGTAACAGTAGCTTATGTAGGCCCACTCATTAATCCCTACTCCCTGTATGTTTTCCTACGAAAACGGTGATTATAGGGTTTGATGGGTGGGGAATTAGGATAGGCAGTGGAATATACTTTAATAACTGCTATAT